TTTTTTTTTTTTTTTTTCACTTCATCGAATAAACTCGTTTCCCCAATTCAAACGAGAACTCCGAAAAACCAAAAAACCAAAGAAACGCGTCCTTCTCGCCTCTCAATCTCTTGCTCGCCGCCTGCAACTTTTCTCCGCGAGAAGATAAAACGAATTCGGTGAAATCGATGGAAATTCACAGACGGTTCGAAAGCGACGGAAGTTCCGGCACAGTTTTACGCGCGGCTGTCGGATTATAAAATTATAATCGCGGCGAAATTGACGGAAAAGTTTGCGGGGCCCCGGGTTCGAATCGATCAAGCGGAATCCAAGTTTCAACTTGTACGAAGGATCAAGAAGTTTTCGCCAAGTAATTCGCCGGAGCGCTGGAGTTTCTGTCCGGAGTTTCTGGCGGACCGACCAAAAATTCGTTCCCCCATAACCGTTGTCGGTGGATACGTGCAGCTCGCGATAGATCATTCGTTCTTACAGGGAAAATGCTTCCCCCGTGTCTCTCTACCTCTCCCCGTCCCCCGTCGCCATAAGCTATACAATATCCGCCGGTGCAATAAAGTGGACCATCCAGCAGCCATCCATCTTTTTTCCACAGCTCGCAAGCTTCCTTTCGCTTTCTCCCTTCTTTGCCTCCTGTTCCCAGTCGCACGTTTCTTTCTCTCTTTCGTCGGTCCATTTATAAGCGAATTATACGCTTGAAAAAAAAAAGAGATTCCATAGTGGTATAAGGTGGCGATTCGGTTTTCGCGCGCGAAAATAAACGAAAGATTAGTTGCTGGCATTTATCGTCACGAACGCACGACGAGTAAGACGATTTCACGCGATCGTCGTCTCGTAGTTTATTGTACGCTCGCGAGCTTAGGGTTTCACGTGCTGTTCATCAGGTTGATTATGCGACGCGAAATTGCGCGGATTACGAGGACGTGATTTCTACGATCTCCGAAGGTAAACCGTGGGAGGAATTTGGCAAATTTACTCTTTAGCATTGCCGCTGTTGTAACGGTGCCTATATGTCCAAATGACTCGAACATGCTGTTCGCCGAAACGATAAACAAAATAATCTGAAGCATCAGTGACACTAAAAAAGAATTAAGAAAAAAACAATACTTGAAAAGGCTAATCAAGATACTAAAGAAGAAATCTTGAATCAGACTTTTCTCATTTCTGCAGTTAATTACGCTTCCATCGTCTAGCAAAAGATTCACTGTTGCAAATTTCTCGTTAATTCGCAACCAGGTTCGGCGGAAGAAGCAGGCAAGTCCATTTCTATACCCGTGGCGAAACTTTATTCCCTAGATCGGCTCTGCATCCACCTGTCAGCTAAAAACGTTCAATTCGCCAACCTTCCAAAGTTAGATTGCCAAATAACGATTCGTCGCTGATAAATGGAAAAGAGCAGCGAAGAACGATTCGAAACAAAACGCACGAATTCGTAAATAG